TTCATCCAAAACCCAAGGCTTTTTCCTGTTCCTTTTTTGGGTCTCTGTAGGATTTTTACAGGGTAAAAAATTTCTTGCTAGTAGTATGTTGTATTCCTGTAACCTGGGCAGATGTGAGTTTAGTTGACATTGAATACTAGATGGTAATAGACTCTTGTTGCTTCTATACAAACCACTGTTTGGATTATGTTTGTCTTGATTAATGTGATGAAATAGTGTTACATGCTACTGGGTCTGTGCGAAATAAGAAAGGGGATCCCAGTTTAGTTTCAATTCAAGCAAGGGTTGGATTTGACACAACAATTGGAAGTATATGGTTATATTTCCTGAGAGGCGACAATGAACAAATAACATAGAAAAGGACAGTAGGAAAAAAGTTTGGTCCTTGTTAAGCAGCACACTTGCCTGTGTATGAACGATCAGAAGCTTCAATTGGGCACATAAACATATGGCTCCACTTTGTTAAAGGAATGAAGTGGTAAATCCAGTTGCTTGCTTGCTTCTGGGCTGGGGTTGAGAGGTAAATCAGACGAGGGGAAAGTAGTTTCATAATTTACTCCTATACCAGAACTTTTAGTAAATCCTGATATGTTCTTTACCGGCTTTACATGTTTGATAGATTACCAACTTTTTCTTTAAATAACGGTGCATGTTTGATAGATTACCAACTTTTTCTTTAAATAACGGTGCGTCTGAGAACTCTTCTATCGGGTGCCTGCTACCTACCATTGGCACAACGAGACTTAGGTGGTGAGACTTTGAACCTGATTTCTCATGATTTTCACCAATTTCATTGATCGCTCGGCCACAAGGTTTACTAACTTGATAAGCACTAGGAATTGATCTCCATTAGCATATGAATATTTGTATATTAAATTATCAAAACATATAGGAGAAGTTTTGCAGCTGAGTACGTAGAATGTAATGTAACTGTCTGTCTCCAGACTTCAAAAATCAATATCCTATCGATAGCCATCAAGGATCTGACCCAAAATCAGGTAAGACTTTGTACTTTCATTTTTGTATCTTTCAACCATTCAAACATCCATCCACAAAGCCGATGTGCGCTTTGCAGAAGGTTTATAGAGCTGTTAAGTTATGTGCCTTTTTTGTATTTTGATGATTTAACAAAATTCATATGAGAACCAAATTGAGAACCTGTTATACATTCCCAAAGTACTCAAGAACACCAAGTCTCATGTCTGTCACAAGTCTCAACAACTTGAGTCAAAGAAACGGCAGAGGGAACATATGGCTATTAGTTCCTCCGGCGACAGTACAAGTCAACTCTCTACAACTGTTAAAGTTGCTGCACTGTTTCTCTGCACACGCAACAGTGGAAGCATTATGTAGGAGATCATTTGTAAAACCATAAACCTTGTGTTTGTGTTTTGGCTAGAGTTAGTCAAAGTGTGTGCTTTGTAATAGAGTTATTACAAAGAGGTATGTAATAGAGTTATTACAAGCAGGTGATGGATTAAGAGGTTAATTCCTAGATTACAATAGGTTGTAATCTAAAATTTGCTCAGTTAGTGAAGTTGAAATCCTATGAGTGTAGGTCGTGGTTTTTAATCCCGTGAGCTGGGAGTTTTCCACGTAAAAGTTAAAACTCTGTTGTGTCTTTTCCTTACTGTTGTGTGTGTGTGTGTTTTCTGTGAGAACTGATAGAGAATTAGGTTCTCTATACAGTTTGGTGGACCCTTAGTTTACATCAATTGGTATCCGAGCATGTTCTTTCTATAAGGCTAACACCTAAAAAGGATCCACACTCTCCACCAAACTTTGAAGAAGTCAATCAACCTACATACCACCAAGATTCAGTGGACAATACTACGGATGGTGGAAGACAAGGATGCATGATTTTATCATGGCTGAGGATTCAGAGCTCTGGGATGTCATTTGCGATGGTCCTTTCGTTCCTATGAAGACCATTAGGGAGCCAGCAGTGACAGTTCCAAAGACAAGGAATGAGTACAACGATGCTGATCGCAAAGCTATAGAGAAAAACTTCTGAGCAAAAAAGATCCTCGTCTGTGGTATTGGACCAGACGAGTATAACAGAATCTCTGCCTGTCAATCTGCCAAGGAGATCTGGGAAGCTCTCCAAACCGCATATGAAGGAACAACTCAAGTCAAGCAGTCAAAGATCGACATGCTCACTACTGAGTATGAACTCTTTAGGATGAAGGATGATGAGTCCATTTAGGACATGCATACTCGATTCACCTGCATCATCAATGAGCTTCACTCTCTAGGAGAGATCATTCCAAGGAACAAACTTATCAGGAAAATACTTAGCGTATTACATGGTTCTTGAGAAAGTAAAGTCAATGCCATCAGAGAGGCAAAAGATCTGCAAAAGCTGACCATTGATGAACTCATTGAAAATCTAAAAATTTATGAAATGAAAAAAAAAGGACCATGAAGGAAGAGAACCCAAAAAGGAGAAGAATCTGGTCCTCAAGGTAGACAACAATGACTTAAGTGGTGAGGATGCTGACATGGCCTATCTGACAAAGAGATTTCAGAAAATAGTTCGCAGAAATGGAGGCATTCCAAAAAAGGGCAGCTCCAGCAAACCAAAAGGTTATGACTTGTGTCATAAATGTGGGAAGCCAGGACATTTCATCAAAGACTGTCCTCTCCACAAGCAAGACCAGTATAAGCACAACACAGACAACAACCAAGAGGAACTTAGTTCCTAACAGGAGATTCAAGAGAAAAGATGTTGCTGACAATGTTGTGAAACAAGCTCTTGCTGCATGGGGAGATTCCTCCAGTGAATCTGGGGAAGATGATGAACAAAGTAACACTTCCATGATGGCCGTTAAAATAGAACAATCTAAATATGACTCTATCTTTGCCCTGATGGCAAAATCTGACGATGAGGTAAACTTTCTAGACGTTCAAAGAAATTTAAAATCTTACTCTCAAAAGAAGTTATATCCTTGGCAAATGTTTTAATTGATACTTATCATAATCTTATCAATGATAAAAATGTGTTAACTGTAGAACTAGGAGAGGTAGAACATAAGAGAGATGATCTGGTAGTCGTAGTGGTTGATTTAAAAGAAATCATTGAGGATTTAAAGAAAGAAAAAGATGCTCTAACTGAGAAAATTGAAAACATAGAGCATGAGGGAGATGACCGTTTGGTAGTAGTTGTGGATCTAAAAGAAACAATTGAGGAATTAAAAAGAGAAAACAGTTTTAGGAACACCCAAAAAGGAAAGTAAGTTACAAGTGAGGCATATCTTAAGCGTGAAAATGAGCTCAAAATGGTGAAATCTAGTCTGTGTGCTGAACTTGAAAGAAACAGATAATTTCAGGAAGACCTAGGCAGAGTTAAAAATAACCTAGAAAAATCTCTAAAGTGGACCTGGTCCTATGATACAATCACTGCCATGTATAAAAGCAACGGGGGGAACAAGCGGGGAATCGGGTTCCAGAAGGAAAAAACTCTCTACAATCCACACAACAAGTATGTTACTGTCCCTGATAACTGGCTTTGCACTCACTGTGGTAACACTGGACACTTTAAAGAAACCTGTAAAGCTAGATTTCAGTCCTAACAAAAAAACAAAATTTTTGTTGAAAAAGTAACTACTGCTAAAGAACCTGGTCCCTCCAATAAAAAACGTGTGATGCCTGCTTGGACAAGAAGAAAAAGTTTAATTCACTCTTTTCCTCACTACAAGGGACCCAAACTTGTTTGGATTCCTAAGTCTAATACTTGATTTCCTTGTGCAAGGTGCAATGAAAGGAAGCAACCAAAGATAGTATATGGATAGTGGCTGCTCTAAGCATATGATTGGAAGTACTGATGATTTTCTCTCACTCAAAGCCCTGCAATGAGGGAATGTGTCCTTTGGCAATGGCAAAAAGGGATACATTCTGGAGTAGGAAGAGTTGGGAAGACACTCACTCATTCAATTGGGAATGTGTACTATGTGAATGGCTTGAAATATAGCCTACTAAGTGTCTCTCAAATTTGCGACAAAGGAAACAAAGTTGAATTCTTATCAAAGACTTGCACTGTCATCAATCTTGTGACTGGTGAAGTGGTTGTGATGGCAAAAAGATTCGTATATACTTTTGCCTAACAGAAGAGTTACAAAAATATCTATCACAAAAGTCAAAAAAAGCTACTCAAATTGCAAGACTACGGGCTAAAGTTTGAAAAGATTTTTATGAGCGTAAGATTCTAATTTGTTACAATGAATACTTTATCATTGATTCAACAAAGTGATGTTTGTACTTAGTTCACCCGATACAGTTTTCTATCTTATATTATTGCTACAATTTTAATACTCTACTTTATATTATATGTTACATTTTCAAATATAAATAGTTAAAAGAACTATCACTGTAGGTATTTGAATTTATGCTCTAGTAGTACTTAAAATATTGTTGTATAGCGTCATTTTACTATTATCGACTTATCATTAGCTTATTAAGAACCGAAAATCCGAACCAAACCAACAACAACCAAAACCGATGGTTTGTATTTAATTTGGTTTGGTTTTGGTTTTAAAATTTTAAAATCGATTAAATTGGTTTGGTTTTGGTTTTAATAAAAAACCGACCAAATCGAACCGTGAACACTCCTAGTAGTTGCCATACGTGTTTACCTGTAACGGTATAAAGATGAGTTAAAAATTACTAGAAAACACTTTTTAGCAGTTTTACTTGTTCATTCTTTCATAGCCAATCATTGAGGGACATGGTGCTCAATTTGATTTTATCAGCCCTAATGCCAGTCGATTCTTTTTAAAGTTCACTCTGCTTAATGCTTTTGTGAAGATATCTGCTACCTGGTCCTCTGTTTTGCAAAATTTCATGCAAATAAGACCCTTTTCAACATTATCCTTGAGAAAATGATGTCGCACGTCGATGTGCTTTGTTATATTATGTTGAACCGAATTCTTTGCCATGTTGAGAGCACTTGTGTTATCACACAGTAATGGCACATAATCAGAAAATACACTGAAATCCTCCAGTTATTGCTTGATCCACAACAGTTGAGCACAACAAGAAATAGTTGCCACATATTCAGCTTCTGCAGTTGAAAGAGCCACAGAGTTTTGTTTCTTTGTACCCCATGAGATTAAGCATGACCCCAGAAAATATGCCATGCCAGATGTGCTCTTTCTATCCACTAGATAACCAGCATCAGCATACCCAATTAAGTCAAAATTATCTCCTGAAGGATAGTAGAGTACCAGGTCATGTGTTCCTTTGAGATACCTTAGAATCCTCTTGGCAGCTTTCAGATGAAATTCCTTTGGACTTGATTGAAATCTAGCACATAATCCCAAACTGAATACAATATCAGGTCTGCTAGCTGTGAGATACAAGAGTGACCCGATGATACCTCTGTACATGGTTTCGTTCACAGGAGAACCAGGTTCATCCATGTCCAGACGTGTGGCATTGGCAATAGGAGTATCAATGGTTTTTGAACTTTCCATCTCAAATCTCTTCAGGAGCTCTTTAATGTACTTTTATAGACTTATCATCATTCCCTTATAGGTTTTCTTAACTTCCAAACCTAAGAAAAAATTTAGTTCCCCCATCATACTCATTTCAAACTCTCTTCCCATAAGCTTTGCAAACTCCTCACACAAGGAATCATTTCTTGCACCAAAGATGATGTCGTCAACATAAACTTCAACAATGAGCTGGTTCCTTCCTCGTTTCTTCAAAAATAGAGTGTTGTCAATTTTTCCTCTCGTAAAGCCATTTTCCAGAAGGAACCTGGACAATCTTTCATACCATGCACCGGGGGCCTGTTTTAACCCACATAATGCCTTGTCAAATTTGAATGGGTATTTAGGATGCTCATGACACTCAAAATAGGGTGGTTGTTTGACAAAGACCTCTTCCTTCAAATACACATTCTAAAATGCACTCTTGATATCTATTTGGAACAATTTGAATTCCATATGAGATGCAAAGGCAATGAGAATTCTGATGGCTTCCATTCGAGCAACTAGGGCAAAAGTCTCATCAAAGTCAATACCTTCTTCTTGATTATAGACTTGAACTACTAGCCTGGCCTTGTTCCTTGTTGTATTCCCAAACTCATCAAGCTTGTTTCTGAACACCCACTCGGTTCCTATAAAAGTTCTGTCTGAGGGTCGAGGAACCAGGTGCCATACCATGTTCCTCTCAAATTGATGGAGTTCATCTTGCATAATAGTAATCTAGTTAGCATCTTTTAATGCTTCCTTGATATTTTTTGGTCTCAATTTGAGAAAGAAAAGCTGAGAAGGCAAGTGAGCTTCTTGTCTTTGATCTGGTTTGAATCCCTAAATTAAGAGGAGTGATCATATTTTGGAGAGGATATGAACTTTTGTGCTTCCAGTTAGACACATGAATCTCATTGTGAGAAGACCCATGTTCCTCTGAATGGGATCCATTATTGGCATCTATGGAGGAGTGAGTGCCACTTCTCTGCTCAGCATCAGGAGTTCCTTGCATGGAATCAGCAACTCTATTTTATGCTTCAGTTGTTGTAATTGAGGAACCAGGTTCTTGTGTGTCAGCTGGAGATTACGCTGCATATTCTTCATTGGATACCTTGACCTGACTCATTAGGCCAGCCTTTCTATTTTCCATATCAATAACTTCTCCAGGAACCTTTGACTGTTCTCCGTCTTGATCGATCTTATCATGTGAATCTTTCCCACATAAGTGGTGTGATTCATCAAAGATCACATGTATGTTTGTATGCTTTGCTTTGTGAGGAATATCCAAGAAAGATTCCTTTATCACTCTTCGGATCAAATTTTCCCAACGCTTCCTTACCATTATTAAGAATGAAGCATTTGCATCCAAACGTTCGTAGGTGAGTTAGCTTGGGTTTCCTTCCGTTCAGTAATTCATATGAGGTTTTGTTTAAGAGGGACCTGATCATGCACCTGTTTATCAAATAGCAGGCAGTGTTGACTGCCTCCGCCCAAAAACCTTTTGCTACACTACTGTCAATTATTATTGTCATTGCCATGTCTTCAAGAGTCCTATTTTTCCTCTCCACAACACCATTTTGTTGGGGTGTTCTGGGAGCTGAAAAATTATGACTTAGACCATTTTCAGCACAGAATTTGTCGAATTTTGCATTATCGAACTCTGTGCGATGATCAGATCTTATGCTTACAACATTATGACTCATCTTCACTTGAATCTGCTTCACAAAGGCAGCAAAAAATGGAAAGGTTTTATCCTTGGTTCTGAGGAACAAGGTCCACGTGAATCTGGAGTAGTCATCAACTATGACAAAAATATACTTCTTTCCTCCTCTACTTGGCACCCTCATAGATCCACACAGATCCATATGAAGGGGATCAAGTGGACTTGAGGTGCTTACTTCCTTTTTGGGCTTGAAGGAGGACCTGGCTTGCTTTCCTCTTACACATGCATCACATACCTTGTGATCCTTGAACCTTGACTTGGGCAGCCCGCGAACTAGGTCCTTCTTGACCAACTTGTTCAGCAATGAAAAGCTTGCATGTCCCAATCTTTTGTGCCACAGCTCAGCATCATCATCAACAACACTCAAATATGTAATATCCCCATTGTTCAAATACTCAAATCAACAACATAGAGGAAACGAAATTGGCCAATTCCTATTACTTTGGGCTTAGGCAATCTTTTAAGATATAAGCAATATAAACCAAAATCTATATATAATAATTAAAATGCAAAAAATATTTAAAATTATTTACAAAAAGATATGATACTTTATATAAATAGTTATTAAATTTTATATATAATTTATCGGTTTGGTTCAGTTTATTTTTTGANTCATATTTTTATATAATTAATCGGTTCGGTTCGGTTTTTTCGGTTTTTTATAATAGAACCAAAACCGAACCAAATATTATCGGTTTTTAAAATTTAAAACCAAAACCAATCCAAATCAAGAAAAATATCGGTTTACTTAATCGGTTTGGTTCGATTTTCGGTTTGAATCGGTTTTTTGTCAAACCATGAACATCCTTAGCAACTACAGAGCAAAAAAGCAGCTAATAACATTGCATCTCGGTAAAATGACGAGGCTCACATTTACAAAACTCAGTCAGGGAACCTGGTTCCCTTGACTCAGGTTAGTAGTTCCTTTTTACACTCGTGCACATTTTAAACGGCTATGAAAGTGCCACATCATTAAATGTTTACGCCTCTCTCTTATCCTTTTAAAACTCAAATGTCACACCCGTTATAAACCGACCCGTCTACCCAGTACGTTACACCCATTTGTAACCAGTCCCTCACCCTCTCTAAATAACCCAAAAAAACTATCCTTCTCACAACCATCCACACAGAGATACTAAACTTCCTCTTTCTCTCAAAAACCCTCTTTTTCTTGTGTCCCTACTTCCAAAAACTCACCATGATTTCCCAGAATCCAGAAGTTTCCAATGTTACCAGTGTCACTCCCATTGTGCATTCTTCTCTCGAAGCACTGGAATGAGAGTCTGAGTCTCAACTCTCACCAAGTCAAAACCCTATCTCAGACCAATAATCACCCACTATTTCTTCTCCAATCCCATCGAGTTCTAGTTCTCACCGCAGTCGTAAGACTCAAACCCCCCAAAAGGTTTGTGGCTACAATCTCTCCCTCTGTGTCACCAGAAAAAATAACAGACGATGAAATAGTGGACGAAGAAGAGGGACAAAAGGTCTCTAGTCAATAGTTTGGGGAAGTCTCTGCAACCCAATAAGATGTTGCTGGCAATGGTGAAGTATAAGAAGTGTCTGCTCAAAATTTCGATCTGAACATTATCTCTCCGACAGGTAATGACCCTTCTGCATCTTCTGATTCTATTTTGGGTGTGAATGAGAAAGAAACTATAGAGAATATGCTACTAATTGCTATAGAAGGAGAGTTAATTGGAGAGTATGAGTGGTGATGTGACCATTAGGTCTAAGGGGGAAGGAGAGGGACATAGAGTTGAAGGTGGGGAATTGGTGCCTCTTGAAAATATGGCATCAGTCAGTACTACTGGGGAAACAGCAAAGGGACCTGCTCCCTCTACCCAAGAAGAGCACTCTGCTCTTACTTGGGATGCAACCCCTTTCTCCTCTAAAGAGCCCGGTCAGTATTGACCCTACCCTTCGCCTCACTTTGATGCAGTACCTTTGGACTTTGTTATTCCTGAAATGAGATTCCTGTTTGAAGAGGAAAGTGAAGAAGGTGAGAAAGACTATGATAATGTGATAGTGGTAAGCTTCATTACTGCTAGAAGTGGTAGGGTTGTTCCCAAATAGCCCATTATTAAAAGACCCACTACCAGGCAAAAGAAAACAAAAGCTTTTGAGAGTTCTCTGAAGAGAAACAAAGAAGAAAAGAAAAGAAGGAGGCTGCTAAAAGGGGAAAAACTGGTGAATAAAAAGGATGTGCCTTCAGCGCATGTTGTGACTGTCGATGATGAAGAGGTGAATGAGGAACCTGCTTTCTTAATTCATAAATACTCTAAGAAATATGTGACTGTAAAGCCCAGGAGAGGATCGTCTATGAAAGCTGTAGCGTTTGATGAAGTGAAGAGTGTTGAAGGAGAGAAGTCCGGTGAGAAGTCTCGAGAGAAATCTTAAAAGAAGGAGAAAAGTGTGAAGAAGTCTGTGAAAAGGAAGGCTAGTGACAAAGAGGAACCTGGTTCATACAAGAAGGCCAAAATGGCTATGTCAAAGGTTGAAAGCAGAGAAAACCTTAAGAGGCAGATGGTGCTATGGGGTAGACATTTGACACTGACATTCTCGAGATGTCAGGTATGAGGCAACTGTTTGCCATCTGCGAGTTCTAGAAGTGGACTCACTTGTTTACTAATCAGAGTCCCACGGTTTATGAAGATGAGGTTCGTAGCTTCTACGTAGATATGTTTATAGTGTAGGACGACAACATTTACTTGAAGGTCAATGTAGTAATTTTGTGATGGACGAGGCTGTTCTAGGAAGTATTTTGGGTGTGCCAATTGAAGGACTGTCATCTGTTGAAGGGACCTGTTCCCCTGACTTTAGAAAGGTCATTATAAAAGATCAGGATGTACAGTAAGGGGAACGCAAGAAGGCCCTCCTTCCAGAGTATCGACTTATGTTTGAAATGGTGAACAAGGTTCTGCTTCCACGCGTAGAAAGACACTCAATTACTTCAAAAGCAGACCTATTCCTCATGGAAGCTTTGGATGCATACATGATGGGTGTGGATTTTGACTACTTATTGGCACCTTTTTGCATTCGTTTTAGTCCAAAAGCATTCAATTGTGTTCCCAAAATAATATGAAATATGCTTAATTGTAGGAATGGTGGAAAAAGAGCCTAAAAGATGAAATCTAACTCAAGAAGGAGTAACCTGAACCAAGGACAAAAACAGGCACATAAGCTCTAAAGTGCGGACCGCAGATTGTGCAGAAGAACTTGTCAGAGATCTGTGAGAAGTGCGGTCTGCACATGAGATGTGCGGCCGCAGAAGCAA